AGGCCACTGCTGTGGGAACACATTTAGACAAAAAAGGTCTCCATTAGAAGCCTGGTCTGGTTTTTATAGAAGTTCTCTGGATGTAATAAAAATATTCTGTTTTAAGTAAATAAAGTGTTTCATAGTTGCCTGTTTCAGTCCTGGGACGCCCGTCAGGGTCAGCTCAGGGATTTTAGCAAATAAAAGCCCGGGCTGTTAATCAGAGTTTTACGGTATGCACCTCCTCTACAGAAACATCTTCTTCTCTTTCAGTTTGCTGCTGTGCAAACCTTCCACAGGTCAGATCAGGAGAGAGTTTTAGAGGAAATCCAGACGAACAACCATCAACAGAGCGCAGGACTCTGAACCACTAGCTGGTCCAGACCAGAACCTCTGCGGCCTGTTGGATGATCACTGTGGAGAAAAGCTAAATAAGTCTCTCTCTCTCTCTCTCTCTCAGTCTCTGGCGCTCTCTAAACAGCTGATGCGCTCGGTGGACAGGGAGCGTCTCCACGCGGTGAACGACGCCGAGGTGGAGCGTCTGATGGAGCGCTGGACGTCGGACGAGTGTTTCAACGCCGTCATGAGCTTCTTCCAGGCCAAGGCCAAACTCTGAGCGAGGTGTGAGTGTGAACAGAGGGGATCGGTAATCGGGGCGAAATGTAAACGGCGGTGGGAGCAGCTCCGTCCTGCAGGCGGCGTGCCTCCACACGCTGACCCGTTAGTTCCCTCCTGAATGAGACTGATTCTCTGGAGAGAAGTAGATTAACTGCTGTCTGGTTTACTGCGTGTGAAACTGTCCTGAATGTTACTCGTAGATGAAGAGCAGCCAGCCAATCACAGAGCAGCGCTAACGTTAACTAACCTTCACTCTCGCTGCAGCCGCCTGTCTGACTGAGAACATCACGATGTCTGTAACCTTCCTGTGACTCGAGGTTAAAGTGCCTTAAACTCTTTGTAGCTCGCCACTCTGTCCCCTCAATTAAAGAAACTTTGGAATTATTCAAAAGCGGACGAGTTGTGTTTTATTAAACGGGTTACCATGGAGATCCACCTGGTTAGACCTGAGCCAGGTCTCTGTGGTCCCGAGAACCCGAGTCTGGTGATCACATGGCGTGTCCTTTTAAAAGAAAGCTCACCGCTGTCACACGTCTGACTGACAGCAGCTCGTCTGGGAAATATCACCAAGAAGAATTAGTAATACTTACAGTACACGAGCTGCGTACGTTAAACACACAATACTATAACACAATCATAATATATGAGAGGTAAAAAGAAAGCAGTGATCTACATCTGTATTTCAGCAGGATTGTGGGTGCTCAGCTGATCCAGCAGGTGGCAGCACTCGCCTGTAAATGAAGCTCAGAGCTTCACATGAAGTTCCTGCAGAGCAGCCTGAGGACTGAGTCTGTTAACAATGCTGCTCTGGATTAAAGGAGCAGTCTGACATTTTGGGTGGTAAAACTTCTTGTTCATAAGAAATGACTAACAAGGTGAGAGAAATGTGTCCTTGTGCTGCGTTTTAAAGAATTACCTGCTGCCTTGTTTCTCTGAGCTCAGAAGTTAAACTGTGTTTTTAAAGTCTCCTCCTGTCGGGGGAACAGTGAGAGTTTGGTCTCAGACAATATCTCAAAAACAAATCCTCTGTCCCTTTACAGTGACTGGAGGAAATATTCTGTAGGCCAAACATTAAATTACGGGAACAAACCGTGGATTTACAGTAAATGAAGGAAATAACTCCACTCTCTTGTCTGTTCAGTGGGCATGAAGCTGCATCCAGCCGCTGGTTAGCTTAGCTTAGCATAAAGACCGGAAACGAGGGGCCACAGCTAGCCTGGTTTGGTTTTAATGGTTTTAAAATGAATCGGTACAAGCGGCCAGACACATTACACAAGAAGTAGTTCCACAGGGAGCACACTGGAGCAGCAGCTTTATTGAGTCTCTGCTGGTTTCTAGATAACTTGGACCTGACTACCTGAAGTCCTAACTCAGGGGTTGTTAACATCCTGTAGCGGGAAAGTCCTAAAGATTCTTCAGCAACATGGCTGCTGTCTAGAGTAACCAGACGTTTTCCGGGGACAGTCCCCGGTTTTGGTGGCCTGTCCCTGGAAATGTCCCTGTTTTGTGTTAATCACAGACTGTATAAGATGTTAACAGACCTCAAATCAGTTCTACGTGGCCAGAAAGACTGGACAGCAGAGCAGACAGGTGTCATGCCGAAAACCATTGCCGTCTGCGGGAAACTTCGGAATAATCACAATTGTGGCTAAATAAGTGTTTGCAGTTTGTAGCGTAACCAAGCATGACTCTTGTTACGTGATTAACAGAAGCCTGTTGCAGCCTATAATTAACATGACTTGGTGCTGAGTTATATATAAAATAATTTTATTATCCTTCTAACTCTACATTACTTAACTTGCTGCGTACCGACTAACCCGGTCCTGATTACCTGCTAAAATACCTTTAAACGGCCGATAAAACTCATGTAATGCAGTATTCTTCGTCCAGACAGTGACTGCAGCCTCTATTGACTGAAAAGTTATTTCTGCCCTGAAATGACTTTATTATATTCATGAGGATTATATTTGACAGATTATATCTCACCTGGTACTTTTTACCTCTTACAATACCTTTAAACGGCCAATAAAACTCATGTAATGCAGTATTCCACTTACTGACTGAAAGGTAGATTCTGCCTCAAAATGACTTGATTTCATTCAGAAGTTATATTTGACAGATCATAAAACCGAAATATATTTCATATATAATGACATGAGATTTTTTTAACGACATACTGAGCACCAAACCAAAACTGTCCCCGGTTTCCACTTCAGAAATCTGGTCACCTTACTGCTGTCAGAGTCTCTGTTGGAAACTGTATTTTACATGTTGTGGTTAAAACTGTAGACGCTGAGCTGTGACGTTAAACTTCGTCTGCAGCTCCGTGTTCTTACTTTCTGAATTCACAAAGGTCAGTCCACCTTAAATACTTGTAAAATGCCGGCGCTGTTACGGTGTGTTAGCGTTTTCCTGCAGGCTCGTCCTTGGTGGACGGCTGAGAAGAGGACTTGATGAACCTTCTGGACCAAACGTTCTCACCGTTGAACCTCTCAGCAGCTCTGACCTCACTCTGCTTTGAAGCCCGAGCAGGAAGCAGGACGGCTTCATCTCTCTGAGTTGTGGCCCCTGCGGGTCGCCATACTTAAATTCCATTGTTGTGGGATTTAACAATGGCGTCCTGAGCTCTGGGACGTCCAGCGGTGTCTGCAGAGGCCTCTCAGCCCTCCTGTATTTATGAGGGGCGTCACAGAGCTTTTCTTTTTTCTCTGCAGCCTGAAACATGTCGGGCTCGTCCGCCTCCCCAGAGCACCGAACGCAACCCTCCGTATAAATCTCAGCTCGCCCCCCCGCCTGGATCTGGGCTGTACGGAGAAATAAGATCCAGAAAGCGGTGAATGTACCCGTCGCTGCTGTGACAAACAACGTCTGCTGAGAGACCAACATGGAGCAGGAAGAGAAGGAAGGGATTTATGTTTCAACATCGGAAAAGAGTTCAAACATCCATCTGTGCAGCTTCAGGGAAGAACCGAGGAGCGCTTTATAGTCCCGGTCCACATTTACATAATAACCTCATGAAATCATCAGCGCCCCGAGCTGCTTTCATTTAATTTCCTGAAAATTTCCGTCGAGGTTATGAAGAAACTACCGAGCTGTTACCAGGAATTTCACTGAGATAAACTTTGCTAACGAGTTTGTGCATCGAGGCGTCGTTTAGGATCTGTTCCAGTGTGTTTTCATGTTCTTCTTCTGCACAGTTTTAAATGGTGTTTAACTTCACTTTATTAAGGGCTGGCTTAAATTAACCATTTATCTGTTTGTTTCTTTTAAAGCAAGATGGATGACAAGCACCTACAGTGCTCTAAATGTAATGACGAGTGAGCAACAGCTACTAAATGGACCTTGTGATGAGGAAGAAGCTCAGTGAATCTCTGATTCACAATATGAGTGAATCCTTGTTGGGATTAAATCTTAAATAAGACACAAACTCTCGAGAACAAAATCGAAACCAGCAATGCTAACAGCTCTAAAGAAGTAAGGACGATATGCTTTCTTTACTTCCCTTAAAGGCATTTGGACTGAAATGTCCCCGACCAAAGGTGGTCCAGTTCAGACAGCAATAAAACGACAATCCTGCACAACAGCTTTGTAACTGATGTGTGGACATTTAGGAGTCTTTCTCTTCTTCAGATGACTGTTTGGTTTGGTTTGGGTTTGAAACAGACGGTCACATGATGCTCGTCTTTTCCACGCCCAAGACTGGTCCTCCTGGACCCGACTGCAAAAGCCCTTAAAGCATTAAACTTTGCACATACATTTTTACATACACGAACATGCTTTGGTGTTTAGGTGGAGTAAATAAATAAAACATGCAAAAGTCCAGAACCAAAGCAGTCGTTCGTGAGTTGACCTCCAGCGACGACACAAGCTGGAAAAGCCACATTCATTTTCTCTGCGCGTGACGGGAGGAGGTGAAGGAGAGAGCCAGGAGTCAGGGATCAGAGGGAGGAGGTGGAGGAGAGAGCCAGGAGTCAGGGATCAGAGGGAGGAGGTGGAGGAGAGAGCCAGGAGTCAGGGATCAGAGGGAGGAGGTGAAGGAGAGAGCCAGGAGTCAGGGATCAGAGGGAGGAGGGGAAGCAGGGCCGCGTTGTTGGTATTTATTACTGAGCTGCGTCGAATTGCTGTGATTTATAAATGTTAGAAAAACAAGAAGGAACGCAGACAATTTTACATGCAGAGGATTCGACGGCGCTCGGCCCCGAGACTGCGGGTCAAAGGAACATGTTCGTGAGATCGTTCTGGATGCAGCAGCTCTTCACACTGCGCGCAATGTGAAAGCGTCAGTCGTGTTATTTGTACGCAGATTGATGAGACCAGGTTAAACAACGTGAGTCCAGTTCTGTTCAGTTTAGAGGTTCTAGGTCTTCACTTTGCTTAAAGCTGCAGGAGGCAGAGGCTTTTTGTTTGTTCATGTTCTCCATGTACTTTTACAAGAAGTACACCTTGAATGCAGGCGTTTGGAGTACTTTTTCCATTTAGTGTTCCCTCAATCAAGTTTTCTAATTAATTATCTTCCTAAATTCCCGTGTTGGATTGATCTGCTGGCAGAGTAACTTTACCTCCTCCTCATGTCTGGTCTTTGCTGACCAAACTTGTCTCCGAACCAAAACCCTGTCACCCAAAGAGATTTAACCAATATTAGCTGCGTATCTAGATACTGTATGTTTCAGAGCATTAGCTTCAGTTGCCTCCCAGCTCGGTGCGCAAGCTTCATGATCTAGGTAACGTACTGAAGGATGTAGCTAATGCAGTTAACGTTTGTGAGACTTTTATACACATATTGTGTAGAGCAGGTGTTTTCAAAGTCTGACACTGGGGGACTCCCCATAGACACTCGACATTTGAGCCAAAATAACCTAATATTTCTGTTTGACATAACTTCTGGCTTGATTGTTATAACCAAAGTTTGTTTATTTCTCACGCAGGTTACCATCTAATGGCCATTTGTGTATTCATTACATGGATATAAATGAATGAAATGGGCCGTTTTGCTATTTACTGATTTAAAGATAAAATAACATAAGCTGAGTAAAGGCCCTCTCCTGCTCCAAGCCCTGTCTGAAGGCTCAGGGTGAAAGCATTACACTCCACTCACGTAACATACCGCAGGCCGAGCTACTGCTGCGATAGAGCGGGGATCCAAAACGCGAGCGGAGCAGGAATGGAAGGGCCAAATAACTCGCTGAGCCTCAGCAGGAAAATATCCCATGATGCTTGACTGCGCGCAGCAAGCATATGTTCACACACAGCCTAAATGAACACTGTAAGCAGACTATTTGATTATTGTAAATTATTCTTATAAAAATAAATATATAGGATGGATTCTGTCCTTTTGGATCCATTGAAATAGTTGATCACTGCAACCGTGATCATTATGAGCAGTTTCCACTTTAGTAGGATAATGCTCAACCTCAGTGTAGGTGATATTGGATGACTTTGCTGTAATCGCAGATCAAGTACAGCACCAGACGGCTTGATGGTTTTGGGCTCACAGACGGGGAAGGAATGGAAAGTCTGCGGTCTTTCCTCCGAAGATTTGCCAGAGTCACAAAGGAGATGACTCCCTCGCACCGCCTGGACCTGTTGACTGATGCCCTTCTGCTCTATGGACGGAGGAAATCCACTGACCCACGTTTGTCTACAAAATTCTGTCCTGGTGGTTTAAGCTGATGACACACAAATTGGTGGGCAGAAGGAAACAAAAGTTGAGGTGCAGCTCCTGCAAAAATTAGACAAGGCAGAGAAAATATCAATCCTCGCTCAAGAAGACATCTCATCTGTCATCAGAGAAGCACCAGGTAAGTCATGCACATGCAGGTAACAATAGCTGTGAACATTTACAAGCGCCCTTTGCACAGAGTATGTAGCATTGACACTTTATTTTTATTGTCTAGTGTTTGTCTCAGAGCGAGACATGGAGAGATGGAAGAAAAGGAAGCTGGAGCTAGCCCAAGAAAAACCAAAGTCAATAAGTAAGTAAACTGAAGTGAATGCTTGAACGTCTTGGAATATTGTACAAAGGTCACACATATAATTAACAAAGGATATTGAAAATCCGTTACACGTACTTTTCCATGTGCAGTAGAGTATCCTGTAAGCTGTGTCGGTGAAGAAGTAACATGAAATGAAGTAATGTCATTATCTGTTCTCCAGACACTGTCTGTAGATGGAAAAGGGACGACATCACTAAGCTGATTCAGTTCTACATGTTCAAGTAAGCGTTCAGTTTGTTTATGGAAGACTATATGGGAATTACACCCATCTTAACTTGAGCGCCTTACTGATGTGCTTAAACATGGAAGCCTAGGTGTGATTACATAGCTATGAGCGAGACAATAACACCGTCCTGTTTTCTAGGAAACTGTCACAATGCAGTAATTAAATATGGTGTGATTAATAATCAATTAGCACCAAGCTCCCCCCTGTAACGTACAATGTTTGGTCAGGTGCAGCACAGGAATGTTTTCTGGTTGGTAATTACTGATACTTTTTATAATATACAGATCTGGGACTCGTGAGTCACACATGGAGGATGAAACAGAGTAAGTAAGCAGTATCAGTCTGTTACTGTTCTCTGATTAACAGTCATTTTTACTCTCTGACCATTGTAGAAAGAGAACTCTCTGCTAAACATGGAGAAAAAACAGAGCATTCGGAGAAGATGGCAAGAATCTGATTTAATCTTCCAGTCCACCCTTAAAGATGACCGTGATGTCAGAGGCCAACTGATCTGGAAGGCTAGAGCTGAATCAAAGGAGAGAGCCGTCCTCCTCCATCTGAAGAGGAAATATCCAGCTAAAGTGCTGTGGATAAGTAGATCAATTTAAAACTCTGTAAAGGACCATCATAACGAAGGCGTGTCTATTTTATAACTTTACTTTAGATGGGCAGGGCGTTGCCGTTAGACTGTCCAAGCAGGTTGCCAACTCCAACAAGAGACTGAGACAGGCAATAAAAGAGTACAACAGCATTCAGTGGCCACCACAGATGAGCATCTTCCCTGCAACTATTGATTTTCAAGAATCATGTGATCCCTCTCGGCCACTCTACTTCTGTTTTGATGACACTGTAAGTATAGTTACCAAAACCTAGTGACCGCATCACTCTAGTAACCACCTGACAACCGCTTACTAACCACAACTACGTTGCACATTGTTTTCTTTCTTCTTCTTCCAGGTGGAAGAAGATGATGTTCCGAGGAGTCTGAAAAGGCGAGGGGTCGACGCCTTACATATGAAGACTCGGCCGCTGAGGAAAAGCACACGCTTTACCAGGAAATGAGAACTGTAGCTGACCACCTCCAACAGCAGCACGCCTTCCTGTGTTCTGCCATCAATGACACAGAGCAGCCAGGTGCAAAAGCTGTCCTCATCCAACGTCTCCAACAGCTGGAAAGAAAACTACATCACGCCGCTACGATGCTTCACCAACGTGTACCAGACGTCGTTCCTGCAACGCACGCTTACGTCACCCCAGACGACCCCCGCCTGTCTCGGGCCCTCCCCATGTCAGCATACAGACACTGGTATACAGCGACGACGATGATAGCAACTAGGTCTGTAAGCACTCTAGACGAGGGGAGGTTTTCTGCTTCTGGAACGAATACTTTGAGCAAATTTGTACGTTTTGTTATACATAATTAAAAATGCCTCCTTAATTCAAGACTAACTAACATGCGTCAGACTCAGACAGTTCGGTTCTGTGTGTGTCTTCATTGTAAGTGCTCTCAATCAAATTAAGGCTGTGTTGCTGATCACTTTATTAGTGGAACTGCAACAGAGTCCGTGTTTGTTTTTCATGAGCTGTGAACTGTCCTGCCAATTGAAACAAAAAATGGTTGAAACTTGCTGTTTTGGACAATAAACACTGTTTTTGTAGACGCTGCTGTCTAAGTAACTTTCTACAGCCTAGTAATACTCAAGGTATAGTCAGCTTTGGTGTTATGAACTTTACAGTTAACACTAACCATTTTACTGTATTTGTACAACATGTTTTTGTAAAAAGGACACCTTTGTAAAACATATTTAAATGAAGGTTACTTCCACAATACACTCAATATAATACAGGTATACTGACTCTACAATAGCATTCCCACAATGACACACAGGTGTGTTTTCAGTCAGAGCAGTTATTGACAGCACACTGAAGTCAATAAGAAAGTAACTTATTAATATATGACCTATCCAATCAGAATCAGCCTGACAGTGGTGCTCGTACGTTCTTACTAAAGGTGTTTTTGGCATGAAATGCTCCCTGATCGAGGCCGATGTAGGCGAGCACCTTTTTTTCCTCTTCCCATCGGCTGCTGTTATCAGGCCTTGACGTCATGCGGAAGCTGTAAAACAAGGGATGAGACTGCAAAGCTGGAAATGTTAATTGTCACTGTGCAATATTTTAAGATGTGTTTTGCGTATTATTTTACAGTCTTTGATCAGAGAATGTATTTTGTATTTAGTTTTCTCTTTAGTTCGTTGCTATGGTGGTTGCTATTGACGCTGCTGTCGCTGAAACCCGAAACCGCCCGGAAGTATTTTCTTCACTGTCAACCTAAGATATATTTTAATGATATCTTTAGCATTTCTTAACAGAAGAACAGCAACTTCATAACTCAACAATAGGATATGTTCATGTTAAGGCTTTCACTTTTAATCATTTCTCCATCGATTCCGACAAATAAAGTTGTTTTTGTCAGTTTTTGGTAGCGGAAGGTTACGGAAGTGCTTCGTTTTGTGGGCGGAGTTTGCCTTTTGGACTCCTGTTTTTGCTAAAATATGTGAAATAAACCAAGATATTTACTTTTTCTTAACATGGATTATCTAGATTCAGTGTAAGTAGTAGTTCGGCTGTACTACATATGTTATATATTCAGTAGGTATATGTTTTTACAACCCTATATTACAACCCTAACTTTGCACACAGGAAAAACTACAACCGTGGTGCTGATTTGACTCAAACTGCATGGCGTGGCTAAAGGGAATTGTAGTTTCTAAAACGTGTTAACGTGGAATTTGGAATTTTAACCACATTTGATTGGGCCCCCAGTTGTTGACTGTACTCACATGACAGCTAAGGTCAAGAGCTCTCTTTAACAGTTGGTCTCATGTCTGTAGTCTCTTTCGTTGATGAATTATAAGCATTCAAACATGCACCAAGGTGAAGGTTCAAAGGTCAGTATTTCAAAGCAGGATCCATTCAGAGTCTTCATCCTGATATATGGTAATCTACAGGTTGAGACCTTTCCAACGATGTATTGGTTTCTAATAACTATAAAATGAAAAGAGCAACTTTATATGTTACAATCACAGGCTAGAAACGCCTTTTCTTAACAGAGATAGTGGCGTTCGTTCGGTAGTTGCGGCCGACGGTCGGCAGTTTGAAATGGAATCGAGCCAATCCACGGCAGATAGCTCCATCATGGTTATTTCTCGGAATCAAAGGAGAAATAATTAACGTATCATATTGTTGAATTATGCATCTATTACATTTAAAGTTTAAAAAATAAACTGTAGTCTTCAACTGAATGACAAAGTTTCACTACTGCTCTGACATAAAACATCTTCTTAAAATCCATTTTACCAAATACCTACCAGTGACAATGCAACAGGAAATTCTAACCATCATGTGCAGGACTGTGAAAAATCCATCAGGCCGATGTGAAGCGTCTAATCATATCAGCATCAACAGAGATTTATGAACAAATAGGCTTTTCATTTACAACACATGTACTCAGTTCAGTAGAACTTTATTTAGTTCCCCACATGGCACAGTTTAAACAGGGACCACATCGACGGGGCCAACAAACACCAACAATAAATAAAAGGAATCTTAATCAGGCTGAATGAAAATATATGTAGCGCCGAGATTCATATAAATTTCATTTTTAATAAAAACATATTTGTGCAGTGTTGGAAGTGTGCACGTATGTGTGTGTGTGTGTGTGTGTGTAGGGAGGGGGTGGGGCCTGTCAACACAGTAAGAAAACTCAAACAACTTAAACTAAACCTTGGAAAGCAGTAAACATTACATGTTTCCTAACACTGATGCAAAAGGTCAGCGTGTGTGCATGGAGGTTTGACACTGGCAGTGAAGACACATGTTGCTTTTAAATCCACATGCAGTGTGTGACCACAGTTGGCACACTGTGCACTGCGACCATGAACGCCACTTCTTTGTAGCGTTCTTCTTCTTGTCATCAAATGGAGGTGGCAGACACAGCGCAAACTGCCTCGATCTACCAAAGGAAAAACAAAAATATTTTGGAGGTGAAACCAGTTTGCTGAAATCGACATATTCAAAGCAATGTTTCAAAGTAAGCTTTTCATTTCCAACTGCTGCCAAATTAAAATGTGGATATTGCACATCAGTTCACCAGAACTGACACCCACCATCTCAGATCTTGCTGATGCTGTATAATAAGATACAAGCAGGTCAACAAAGAAGGGTTCCTGGGGCCCATATATGAAAGCGGGTTTAATGAAAACTCTTGAGTTTCACCCTGAAATGAGGTAAACTCTTGGTTTTCTGTTTCAGAGCCTTTCAGAAAGCGAGCTAACTTTAGCTCTGTCAGTTACAACGGTAACTGAGAGTGAACTTTTTCTTCAATAAACCTGGAGTTTCTCAGTCTCCTCCCTCTGACACAGCGCTGTTTCCTCATTACTTCATTCAAGAGTTTTACCATCCGTGTCAATAAAAATGATCAGCATTTTTTAATGAAGTCTGTTAGGCAGACTAAAATAAGGTGACCACTGACCAGACGTCCCCGTTTTTGGTTTTCTGTCCCCAGAAAGGTCCCCGATTTTCAATTCAGAAATCTCATCACTACTTTGTTCTTATATTTCAATTTTAGCTTCTTTCACATCTGTTCTATCCAGAATTGCAGCTAAATGAAAACATTATGTTAAATCTCATTCCACTTCACCTGGAATATGTGATTAAATATAAATTAAATAGACTATATTCACTTTTTAAGAAGAAAAACTCTGCATATGTTTTGCCTGAGGATTTCCAACTCCAGACGTGTGAAGTATGAGGAATGATTTTTTTAGCTGTTGCCATGGTGAATCGTAGTATCGTGGCTCAATTTATGTTGCCTGTTTAGAGCGGTGGTGCACACGCTTGACTGAGAGTGAACCTACTCTGAGTTGATTAAACAAACTCAGATCAGCTGTTCTGGATCTCAGGGTAAATAAACTGATCAGAGTTGATTCTTTATTAATGTGCATTGTAGGCTATGTAGCATTAAAGAGTTCCATCCATCCATCGTCAGCTGCTTATCCTGCGTACAGAGTCGCGAGTTACAAAACTCAATTTCACTCTCCAACCTGTTGTATTGTGACAATAAACCAGTTCACTGTTGAACCTGCTTTCTGAATTGGGCCTCTATCATGTTGTTTTTGGCCAAAATCTTTATTGTATTTGTTTAAAATGTCATAGCCCTTATGGTGACTACATGAAAAACAATTAACTGAGACACAAACTCATATTGCATAGTTTTTATACAGACTACATCATGAACGTTATCCTAATTACTAATATTACATATATATTATTAAATAGACTGATATGTTCAGCCATTTCTGATTTTCTCTCTAAGAATCAATCATTTTCAGACTCTGATCTACATAAATCTAGAAGTAATGATTAAGGCACAAAGAATCCAAACAGCTAAATGCTCCTCATCAGGTTTCTGAGCTCCGTATTTTAAATATTTCAAAGGAGAGCAGCAAATATTTCACTATGTACAGAGCTGAACTTGAGCTGAAATTGAAGTTTAATATTTATTACAATGATGCACGACTCCCTGCTAGCTCGGAGTTTGTATTTTAAAGAACTGTACTGGGCAACATCCTTTGTCTCAAGATGTTTTTATGCTTTAGGTCCCTTATGTCTGTCCACAGAGTGGAAAAGGGGTGTTTATGTATTCTGCACTTTCTGCCTTGAATCTGCTCCTGAAAGACTTAAAATTGCATCTTCCTAAAAGCTTTTCTATCCAAAATGAAAAAATTGGATATTTAGTTCGTCTATGCCTCTGTTCCCATAGCTGTTCCTATTGTAGTATTGGAATCTGTCTAAAACTACTTGTTTTTATCTATACTGAATACAATCTTGGCCAGGTCTCCCTTAAAAAAAGAGATTAGTCTCAATGAGACTTCCTGGTTGAATAAAAATAACCACAGTTTAGATACCTTCATCTGCAGTCATCAGCACGGCTACATTACTGGTTGTTTCTGAGGATTCCTCTTCCATCTGCTGTGCACCTACAGTACATAAGACAAAACACAACAACAGCTTTCTCAATACAATCAATTACAATACAAACTTAGTGAAATTTGTTTATACTGTCGACGGTTAAAGTAAATGACTGACTGGAAATAGACACAGAACCATTATTTGCATCTAAATCTCAGCCAATTTAAAGTGTAAAGTGATCAAAATACCAAACTTAGAAAAGCTGTTTAATGTCACGTCGATAAATATTGTATCTATATATTGTACTTTTCAAACAAGTGAGCTTTTCTCTCTGTGTCAAATGTCAATGGCAGACTTCTCAGAACAGAAGTTCTAATTAAGCTTTAATTTAAGCATTACCAAAAACTGGCATTCGAAACGTATTACGATTACAAGAAATACCATTTTCACACATGGCCTCTAATATCTCTTCCACCGACTTCGTCTGGAGGTCATCTGCTGTGTCTGTTGATTTGAAGACTTTACACCGTGACACAAAGGTGATTTCACCACATTATTTCCATCGTACAATAATATGTACCGTGGTCAAATGTGCTGTGTAATTAGGTAGATTGACCAGTTACAAATCTAGTAAAGGATGCTTCTTCAGTTTAACAGTAAATATTTGTAAAGATAAAATAAAAAACAACTCAGCCTACATTCTGCGTTGATGTGTTCTGAACTTCCCTCTGCTGTGTCAGTGGGGTGGCATTGTGCTGCATCTGATAGATGTTTAGGCAAAAAAGGAACACTTATGTAATATGAGCGTAACAAATAAATGGTATTCCTGCATTGCTGGAGAAAACACAATCACACATCTACGTATCTATGAAGGAATACAGACAGTTTAATTACTGAATAGTCGGGTGATGGTGGGGCAGTGGATAAGACACGTGGCTCTTGTGTGGGAGGCCTGGGTTCAATTCCTACTGTGACATCTACCTATGTGTCCCTAAGCAAGATACTTAACCTCTAGTTGCTCAAGAGGCGTGCGACCTCTGACATGTATATCAATTGGAAGTCACTTTGGAATGAATAATTATTAATATTCATGAGCATGTGAAAGATGTAAACACTGCCAAGGGCCATGTCACATTAAAGAAAATGTGTTGCACTAAATAGTTAAAAACTCCAACTGAGAATATTGTCACGTCCCTAAGTGTCAAAGACACATACAGAATCTATAACAAAATGTAATAAAGCTCTTCTGGATGTTTGCAATGTCCTAGCACTATACAAAGACTCACATGTAGGCCTGTTTTATTTTTTAGGTAACTTATTTCACCCACACAAATGGTATGCAGAAATACAACTGCCACTGTTAATTTCACTTACTTATTTCAAATGAAATATGCTCAGCAGCTTTTAAAATGGCTTCCATAAAAGGATGGCTTCTTGAGGGTAAGACCATTGGGCAGCCCAGCAACATTTATGGTCACCCTTTGATTCACCAGGGACCGGTAGGGGAGCCTTCCAACACCTCCAGCCTCCTCTGAAAAACATGGGGACACACATGCATGCACACGTTACACAATTTGACAATTGTGACTTTGCCCTCCTGTTGGTAGCCAGTGTACGGGTTGCAAACATGTCATTTTGTCATCATTTTATGGTATAAATTATTCAGTAATTGTATAATAATGCCACTGATTCATGGAGGTATATTAGGTTATAAGTCTTTACATCTGTAAAAAGAGTTTGAAAATATGCTTACTATATTTTTGGTTGAATAGATCCTGCACTTTTTCAACAGCACACTGACTTCATCTTTGGTACTGGGTGTTGCGGCTGAGGAGCTGGCTGCAGCTGAAACAACAGACAACACTTAAGTTTATAAAATTGTATTACCATATGTATATTTGCATTATTACGGGCCTGTGTCCGTTTCTGTGGATTTTCAAACAACAAATATTACCTCTGAAATGCAGTGAAAAGTTGGTGACTGTCTATGAAGATTCTCAGTCATCCAGGTCATAGTTATCCAACGAAGGTTAAAATCAAGGGCAACTGGACTTGGTTGAAGATACTGGAAGACGTTTCGTCCCTCATCCAAAGGACTTCTTCAGTTCTGACTGACTGGCAGGGAAACTCAGCTATTTAACCTCAGTGGGGTCGTTGGCCCGGGTCATCGATACCGCTGGTTCGTTAGTGTTCCCGGTTGCTGTGACGACAGTCGTTACAGTCGTTAAGACTACCTGTGGCCGAGACTGAAAGTTGGTGACTGTGTCCGTTGAGTCAAGGAAGTCAGTGGCTTCTTTGCTGCTCAGTTCAGACACCTCTAAGCTGGACTTTTGGCGGTCAAATGACAAAATGGCCGTTTCCACAGCCAAAGCCTCAAGACTGGACACCTTCACAATATTTAGGTAAACAAGATATCCACAAAAATGGTAAATAAAATAGACACAAACTACTTCCAACATACACTGAGGAAACAACTCTTAACAGGTTTAGGCAATTTCTATGAAAACAGTGTTGTGACACGTGAGAAATAAGTGCTCAGGGAGATTACATTAACTATACATTAGCTGTGTTTACATGGCGTTTAATATTCCACTAATAATTGGACTCACAGCCATATCTGACTACTAATGCTTCAGTTGACGACCTTAATCTGAACAGACTGGCCCAAACGGTAGGAATTTAGTTTGAAAGGGGCGGTATAAGCCGATAGCCTTGTAATCACTTGACTTACTTACTTTGTTCCTTTTTTTCCTACAGACTACATGTGGTCTTACTGCGCATATTCCTTCATGTAGGCTAGATGTTGTGAGTCAGCACCTCTTATGCTTGCCTTCTCATGTTTAATAATTGATAATAAGACACTTAACCCCTCGTTGCTCCAGAGGCGTGCGACCTCTGACATGTATAGCAATTGTAAGTCGCTTTGGATAAAAGCGTCAGCTAAATGAATAAATGTAATGTAATTGCTCATTACGTACATTTGGATTACATACTTTGAGTACGGTTATCATTGGATGACTTAATTAATCACATCTCACATCACAATTGCTGTCAATCAAGCTTACACCTAATACTATAATGCTACTATAGTGCCAACTCATACCACTAATGTCAAGCTATGAAGCTTCTTTCCAAACCTCAAACTTCTGCTTCTTCAGATGCATTTTAATTTTGAGCTCCCTCATCTCAGGGCTAAGGTCCTGTGCCTGCCCATATGCCCTCAGTGCTTCTGCCTCTTCAAAGTATTTCTGCTTCTCGTCTTTCCCTAACGTGGACCGCTTGCCCTTAATATCGTTCATTGTGCCTAAGGGAAAAAACTTCAAACTTCAAATTCATACAAAGACAATCTGTCCAACACGCTGGTTCACACTTGGGTTGTGAACCCCATTACATTGTAACAAGCCTGTACAACAGGCTTCAATAGACACAGGACTCTTACACCCATGTATGAAATTCTTCAAATACTATACTACAAATTCGTTTCACAACCCCTGATGTAAACAGGACGCTACGTACAACAACAACTAACCATTTAGTATAACAATTAAAAGCATCCATTAAATACTGACTCGTACTTTTGTTTTTGAGAATGTCCCTACATAAAAGATTGTATGGTGACAGTTCTCTTGTGTCTGTTTTGGGCTCAGAAGCAGCTTTGGACCTTTTGTAGTTACCGATCCAGTTCTGAAAGAGAGAAAACTAATATAATGACTTAATGTTAATAAAAACACTGCATTTATACCAGCAATACAGCAGAATGATATATTTATTTGACATGTTGAGTGTTAGTGTGGCACTTGGGTAAATCTTACTTCTATGACACAGGTTTCCAAACCAGTAGCTGATGCAGCTCTTGGAATTAACGGTGAGCCAACATGTTTCATTCCCTCCTTAAAAAAGGATTTCAACGTTTCCCTTTGCTCGTCGAGGATCTGCGTTCTCTCTTGTTAAATAACAAACAAAAGGCTTGTCGCTAATAAAAAAGACAGCGTTGAGGGTAAGTGTGGATTCTGCGTACCATACGGTCTTTCTCAAACACATTAATGCTTCTTGATTAGCGACTGTAAGGCTTACCTCTATGGGC